CTGACATATGGTCACGTTTCAAGATGCATGATGTCAAGTTTAAAGAAAATGATTTTTCTTTTAATTTATTTGGGAGTCATTTCATGCACTTCTTATGAGTGATGAAAGAAAGAGTTTTTAAGCATCTCTAGTGACTTGTTCTCGCATAAACAATAGGCATCGATGCGGGCACCTTTTAGAACAAAAAATCAAATAAATAAACCCAAATACAGAAACCACATACCAATTTGCTAGCTCTAGCCTACGTATTTTCCAATTTCACATTGAAGAACTAAATAACTACATGTCCTCTTTATGCTCTAGATATATCTTGCTCTCCTTGTGCTCTGCACTCGCCTACTTGGCATGCTCATCATGTCGGCTGCATTATCTCCTTGCACTTAGCCCCTACATGCATGAACTCAATGATCAACGCACTCACTGCAATCGTGTGAGCCCTTCCTACTCTTGGCATGCACTTGCATTCCTGGCAAATGACAAGCTAACAACACAAGCATACTTCCTCCCTCTCTACATTCGCTATCTACACATTTAGCATGCTCCAATCATATGCCCTTTTTGCATTCGTCATTTGTCATATGTGAAACTCTGCAACACTTGTCATTCACTATTTCGTCCTGTAGGGTTGTTTTAGTTTTATCACAGCATGTGTTTGAGAGCTAATATGGTGCTTGCATCACTACTACAGGGCTTGATTTTTTTTTTCAAACTTGATGCCTCAAAAAACATTCTTGATATTTCATTTTGCTTGCCTCTTATCAATTTTTGCTCCATCGCTACTTTATGGAGTCATGTTATCTCATTTTAGATCTCTTATCGGCATCCACTCCATCTACACAACCGACTACTCCTCATCTACAACCACATTATGAGGCATGTTGACACGGGAGCTTTCCCGTACTATTTTCTCGTGATATTGTAGCCGCTACTGTATCGCAGGATTCAAAAACACAGGAGATAGCCGGCAATTCACTGAAACAGTCTCATTTTCCGTTTTTATTCTTTTTTTCATATTATCTTTCTTTATTTTTTAATCATTTCCTATATATGTGTTGTATTAGAGCTCGAAATTTAGTTTTTCGCGTATGTTTTTGTTCAGGAATCATCGACTATCAATGTTCCCCAGCAACGATTGTATACGAATGCGAGGTGTTCTGGTTCAACTCGACCTAGGTAGCGGCCATCTCCAATGGTTCAAGTGGTTCTCCAGCAGTAACTCGACCCAAGAGAATTTTTGTATTTACCCAACTCCTTTGCAAACTTTCCATCCATCGCCCTCGCTATCGCAGTCCCCGAACAGCCATCCCCTTTGATGTTCAGTTCACCGCCCTTCTCTTTTGGTGCCCCTCGTTGTCCCAACCATTTGCTTCGTTGCTTTCACTGTCACAGACCTCCAACTTCACTGTCGCAGCCCGCCACTATTTCATTTTGTTGTTCTAGTCCTGTCCCGTCATTTGGCATCACTGTCGCCACCCCGCAAGCCCTTTCTATGATTACATATCATTGTCCAGCCTTCCGGCAACACTACCACATTCCCTCAACTCCTCTCCTTGTTGTCAAGAGCCTACCCGACCCTTCTGATGCCCTGCCACCACTTCTTTGTCGTAGCCACCTCACCATACCTTACGGTTGCCCACCTTCCTGCCATCCAACAGCCAATTGCAATCGTTATTTGTTGCCTTCCATCCATTCCCCCACTTCCATGCAATCTTTTCCTCCATAAACCGCAACACCACTTCAATCTAAGCCCTAGTTGAGTTGTGTTCTGTCTTTGTTATCTCCTAGTTCCAAGCGTCTTTGCTATCTCCTAGTTCCAAGTGTCTTTGTTTGTAACTTTATTTGCTTTTGAATAGCAATACTTGCTTTCCCTATTGTAGTTTGGGTTAACTCTAGTAACAAATGTCCTATGATTACTCATATTTCTATTACTTATCCCCCTTTGGGCTTTCCCTTGTGATGCACTGCCACCTTTTTGGTAGAGATTGCTTGAGAGATATTGTTCCATGAAGATATGTGTGCATTACTAAATCAAAAAAGTACAAGAACTACGTCATTATGCACCTATGATATACATAAGTGTGTCATGTCATCCAAAAGTATAGTATAGAGTTCTTTATCATCATCTATATGCATCAAAAAGAAAGAATTGCTAAGGGCATGCTTAGCACAAGAATGAGCGGCCATGTTACATAAGCGAAGCATATAAGAAAATAGAACTTGCTTAAAGCTCAAAAGACAAGCCAACTTCGAGGCAATAAGTGGTTGATGGTGCCACATCTCTTGTGTCATAGAGGAACGAAGAAAATGCACAACATTTTTGTTGTCCCCCTCGATTATAATACCCATGGGCTCGAACATCCAAGGTTGGCAACGTTGTTAGAGAGAATGAACCGCCATAATTTCAACTTGAGTGTTGTCCCAATGTTGGAAATTTTGTCGGAACGCAATAATAAATTTACCAAGCTCATCCTGAATGATGGCCCCTGTACCCACGATCCTTGATGGAAGCAAGGCCCAGTCAACAATCATTTTTAACCACCCAGTAGGGGTGACAGAAAGAAGAAAAGACCAACCCAGAGGATTGGCTAGCGTCCCAGTGCCCCCGAAATGGGTAGAAATGAGTCTTGGTTAAGGCCTCAATACCTGTCGCTGCAATGATGGAAGGTTTTTCATGATTCTGATTGTGAACCTTAGCATTGCGAGCACGCCACAGTGATGATTTGTGCAGCATAAACACTTGGCTTGTGCAATGAAGCCCTTTCGAGTAGTATTAAGGTCCTTGGTCACTTCATCAAAAGCATTATAATCGGTTAGAAGAAAGCCCCAACCATGCAAAATATTTTTAACCATGCAAAAAAAAAATAAACAATTAGAAATAATATGATCCCGACTCTCATCATTGGTGCAACCCCAAGGGCAAGGAGTGTTGTTTGTGAGGCCCCTTCAGGCGAGCCAAATGCGGGTAGGGATAGCCACGTGGAGCACGCGCCGCCAAAAGAAACGCTCCCAAAGGCGAAGTTGAAGTCTTTAGTAAACTGCTTCAGGAGGATGCTACTAATGCAGGCTATTGATAACATCAATTGCTAAGGTAATGGTCAAATTGAATGTTACATCAACACTTGAGAAAAAGATATAGAATTGGCTCTATATCTTGTAGAAAATAGAAGAAAGTTGAGTTTGAAGACGGTCAACCACATTATTACTCAAATTCACATAATGCTTTAGAGCACACCAAAAACTACAAAACCCTCCAAATGAAATCTTCCACTTAATAAAAATCTTTCGTCTAATGAATTGATCGTTATTCCCTCAACCTTTGATCAGGTTCATACACAAGACTATAAATAATCTTTGAATCCTAGCGGGAATAAATTCCTCCATGTGTTGCTAGCCTAGTGCTTTTGACTGACCCCACTGACTACACGATCAATGTTCTAGAATCACATGTGGTTTTTGCACTTGAAGCTATGCCTGTGGTAAAGGACATAGGCGATCCAAATTCTCATTTTGTTGTTTTTGATACTAGCATTTCTAGCACATAAAAGATTGTGGATTTTAACTTATACATGTTATGAGGGAAAGGAAAAGTAAAAAATTATACCTCCAATCTCAAAATATAATAGACTTCAAGTTAGAAGTTTCTAATGAGAGGGGCCTTGGGGAATTATCTTCCTCTTGTTGATTCATTCAACACATGTTAGCCTTGATGGTGTATTTTATTATTAGTTCTGTTTACACATCCAGCAATAATTTGCATTTTCTTTGTAGTATTTTCTTCATTAAGTTATAATAATATATGATCTTGTTCTAAAATAGGAACAATGTAGAACTAAAAACAAAAGTTAACACAAACTTGAGAACACAAACTCGATAAAAATGTACTACTAAAGATTCTTTTGAGGAAAAAGCAATCTACAAAGGAACTAAGGGGTCTTTTGGGCTTTTGAAAAGGAACACAGTGTACTCAAAATGTAATATATTTGAAATAATTTACAATTATTGGGTTGAAGTAAAACAAATGCAAGGGATTTTTTTTATTTAAAGTAAAATTAATTAAATGTAAAGTTTGATGGCAAAAGCAATGAAAACTTGTTAATAGCCATGATGGACGGCAGCCGATGATGTAGCATGCCAGTGGTAGTGGTCAATGGCGGATGCAATGACAATTGGTTGGCAGCCACCAATAGTGAACAACAATAGCCAACGGTAAAAAATAGTGACGGTGGCATACGGCACACGGTAGGCAACAACTGCAACAAGGACTAGTGAGCAATGTTGGATGCGGCAATAGTTGTAGCTTGCGGGATATTCAAAACTTAGCCAAAATCGACTGAGTTTGTAACTCATTACGAAAGAGATATCGTGAGTCTGGAATACCCTAAAATTTTACTCTGCATTCTTTTTACTTGAAATCAAATACCAATAATCTCAAAATAACTACATTTCAAATAATCCCATGATACATGAAACCAAACAAATTCTAGCATAGTTACAGATTTCTCCTAACATCACGTTGAAAAATCATTACTAACCAAAACATTATATTCAATCACCGTGAACTTTAATAAAAAATATTAATATATATGTTCCTTTCTTCTTTAATGATGAAGAGTTGTCGTTTTCACTCTATGCCCTTCCTATATGAAAAGGGTCTAGCATGTACATTGGGGTAAAACAGAAACTGCTGAACATGTCAATAAGAAAGAATTTATTCACCTGTAAAAATCAATAAAATGATTCAAATCATAAAAAATAAAATAAAATAGATCAACCACAAACAACTAGCATGCTTCATTCAAGAAACTAGGCATGATAAAGGCAAGACTAAATGAATTAAAAGCCAACTTACATATACCAATGAAGAAAAAGATCTCAATCAATAAAAAAGTAATTGACAAACAGACCACACAGACTAGGTTAAAAATAAAGGATTAAAAGTTCATTGACATGAACCAGATGAATAGAATAGAAGAGTAGGTCGTAACAAATTGATCAATGACCTCAGATCGATGCCGAGCCAATAATGTTGCAAGCCAATGAAGAGCTTCCAATCTTGTGGCCTCCCATTCGCTTGTTAATTGTCTGACAAAAGAGCATGAAAATATCTTATAATTAAAATGAACAGACAATAAAAAATACTCATTGAGCAGCAAAAAATAAATACAATCAGATAAATTCCACTCAATTTAGTCAGATAAAATAGAGGATACTTCCTTGTAGGTCTTCTCCTACTGCTCATGTATAGGCACAAAGTACGTCAACTCATGAATTGTAAAAACACAAGTAACCTTTAAACCTAGTTGTTTCCCAGGTGACCAAATAAAAAAAAGCACCTCATTGCAATCGAAAGGACTGCTTCTATATCAAATCCCTCAGCCGGATCAGCATTAATGGCACGAAGCTCTTCATTAGTTTCACGAGCAACCTAAGAAAGAATTAAAAGGATGTGTTCAAATGAACATGAACAGCGAAAGTATAAAAGTACAGAACTATACTCACCACTCTTATCTTCTCTTCTTTGTCTGATATGCAAGGTAAGATGGCTCCAAGAATATATGCATAGTGTGGAACAAGCTGGTCACCAGCTAGTTTCACGAATTCATTTATCTGCATGTCAACAGAATCGATTAAAAAATATTTTCATAAGTGATAAAATAGCAATGAAACGTTAAAAGAATCTCATTCATTGATGAAGAAAAAATAATCAAAAGATTATATAACAGAATCAAAAACTTCGAAAGAAATTACAAGCTTAGTATCCTTACCCACGTGATAGCTGTTAACCTAGTAAACTCATCCGAAGAAGATGCCCTTTGTACTAGTATTTCAGCCATTCGGCCATAATCTACATTCTTCAGAGCACATTTTAAGTCAGCAAAATCATTGAAAAAAGAGGCGATTACATACAGGGAACCCAAAACATTTTTATTTACAAATTAAGCACCCCTTTCATCCATTTTTTCAAATGCTCACTCAAATATCAAAAGTCGTGATAAAACCCCAACCCATATTTTTCAATTTTATCAATTCACAATGGTTTGATCGAGACACAAGTAAATGAATTGGTTTCATAGTTCAAAAAATCACCTAGGTGCATTATTTGTAAATAGCAATGCTTCTTTTGCTTAGTATGTAATTATCCCTAAAAAAAGCATATATCTCATAATTAACCTTTTTGTTTCAAAATTTAAAAATTTTCATATTGTATTCTCTCTGAACTAGAATCAAATATAAATTTCAAGAAAAAATAAACATAGGATGCCTTAAGTAAAGGACACCATGCAGCCAATTTCAAGAAACAAGTATAACTAGAGGTTCTTATTATACTAGTTTAAGAAATCCTTACTGGAGAACTCTTTATTTCTTGTAGAAATTCTGAGAGTGCAGAATCAGCTTGTTGGCGTATTTCATGGCTGGAATCACTTAGCATGTTGAACAGGCCTTTAGAATTCAAATTAAATGTCTAAGATGGCCTTTCTATTAATGAAAAAAGAGTAACAAGTGTAAAAATAAGCATGTATAAAGCATGGTTACCATCAAGGAAATCTGGAAGAAAACCAAGCATATCGATATCGGGAACACTATCCAATACAGTGATCCATCCTACCAAAAATTGCCGTACGTAGGGGCTTAATATATGCATCCGCTCTCGCAACAATGGTATAAATTCTTCTATGCTTTAACAAAGTAGAATAGAAGTTATAATAATAACATGAAGACTAAAATAAAAGCTACCCTTCCAGGAAATCTAAAGGTGACATCGTGGAGAGAACCTGAATTGATCACTCTCGGTAACAATATCCTGATTAATTCAACAAATGATTGTTACAATAATTGCAAATGGATGACTATTCCTACTTGAGAGATATCCCCAATAAGATATCCTGCACTTACCTTTACAAGTCGATCCAGTAGATGGGTAGCACTCTGCACGGTGGCATCTGAGTCTGCTGAAAGCTTACAAAGGGCATCAAAAATCTGGTTGAAATAAACAATAAAATCTCCTCTAACAACCTATAAAAAGAGATTAAAATAGTCAATTTTTTCAAGTTTCATGAAGGATCATCAGCAGCAGCATAACCCAACAATTTACACCAAAGAAAAACGAAATATTAAAAGAAACAAACTCGCTTTTGCTATGTTGTACAGTGCCTCGCATGCATAATACCGAACTCTGCTGTCTTGGTCAAGAAAAGAGTTGAGCACGGGTGGTACAATTAGCTGAAAGAAAATAAATTTTAGACAGCAAATGTATAAAAATGTGCAAGGAAAGCTTGTTAACCCACCTGCTTGAAAAATTACATATTAAAACGCATGCATAAATATTTTGTGAAATTAAATAACTAATTTTTATGTATTTACATATCCAAGAGCTAAAGTTCGATTTTTACATTTATACCACCCAAATCTTTCATATCACATAAAAAATACCGTCATTTTAACTTCTAAAAAGTGAAGTACACCTTTTCATGCATAGGTAGAGTGGCATATATGTATAAATTAAATTTTAGATGTTACATTTGGAAATACATAAGACTTGATTGAGAGGTGGAACATTTTGATAAGCAAGTAAAGGAAAGTTGGTTTCCTTTGTCAATATTCACTTAGATCCAATCGCCCTCCTCAAAATTTTATAAATTGATACAAGATTGATAGCTAGCTTTGCAACATGTAAAAGATTCTTTAATGTAAAAACTGGGTTTAGATTTATTGTTCCATGGCCATCAACAACAATGATCTTTTTTATTACCAGGCAATGATTTTAAGTATTGAAATTGATTATAGTATGAGTTAAGCGATTAGGAATTTGTAAATCTGCAAGATTAAATGAGTTAAGTGATTAGTAACTTATGAATCTACAAGACAAAAGCTAATGTGGGCGAAATCAAAGATAGTAAATGGGCCTTACAAAGTTTAATGAACGTATACTAAATGATGTGTGGTAAAGTAGTTCAAAAGAACTCAAGAGTATATTAATTTGTTCCTCAAGGTTTCCATGTTCATGGGAGTCGAATTGTGGTAGTTCATTGCCATTAGTAAGATTGGCTTTATTTCGTCCATGAATTCTTTCATTCTAACCAAAAAATATGGATTTCATCTTAAAGCTTAAAGCAATCCTCATTTGTGTGGTGTAGCTTTTCACAATATATACAACAAATTTCTTCCCGCTTCAATAATTTGGTACCCTATGATTTATTGATATGAATTTAATTTCCACTATGACCCTCATCATCTTTGAGTTTTGTCGTCATCATAAAAAAGGCATATATGCTATAGGTGTCAAGCATCACACCACTCCTAATCTCCTCCGCCCATATTAAGGTAGGAGTTTCATTGAAAGATAGTAATATCTCTTTGAACATCATTTTTATTTGCATTTGATCATTGGACATGAATTCAAGTAGTATCTCTCTCATGACAATCTTCTTTGTCATTATGATATCGTCAATGCATTTCATCTTTATGTTCTTATAGAAATCTAAATCAATTGTAAGGCTCTTCAACAAATTATAGTATTCTATCAAACAATGAATACCTTGTTTTGAAGTAAATATCTTCACCATGATTTTGCATATCAAAATAGCATCATCGATTATAGAATAGATTTGATAAGAAGTTTTCTATATTTCACAAAAGTTAGTAAGGATTATTTATTTCCACTGCTTTTAAGCTGCATGGAACTCCATAAGTATGGCATGGTCATTGTCTTCCTCATCCAAGTATTAAACTTTGGAATTTTATATTATGAACCTACTTCAATCAAATGTGTGCCTCACACTAACCTTTATAAAAGTCTTCACAATTTGTAATCATTGGAGATAATTTCTTCCATTCAAAAGATAAGTGAAGTTAATACTTTGAAGATGAAAATTTGATTAATTTACGAAGAGTGGGGAGTGATTCATAAATTACCCAATTAATTTTTAAAAGTTTTAGAGATTTCAATGAAGAGGAAATAAAGACAAGGAAATGATAGATTTTAACAAAGGTCAACGCAAGAGCCCTCAAAAGACCCTTGATTCATAGATCTAGACCACTAATAAATTTTGAAAGATAAATCAGCAATGAAGGAAGATTATTTGAATCAAAGACAAGAAATGGCAAAATAAAAAAAATAGATTTGCTGGACAACATAAAGTACAAAAAATCATTGTTTGTATAGCATCAGATAAATGAACCATAAACTATAATGAAAAATAAGAACAATAGTAGTATCAGAATGTGATAATGGAATAAATTCAATGAGAAATAGCTATTAACAAAGAAGAGGGATTAGATCTGCAATACAGTTTACCCTGATGCCATGATGATAGAAGAAAATAAAAGTGTAACAAAAATTGGAGAATGGAGAAATCAGTTTCTAATAATATTTTAGTTGTATCGGTTGCACCCTTCTACCACTATTTATATAAGGAGGTTAACATATGAAAAGAAATGCATTAGTCTTAACCACTAAATGTATAGAAAAAAAACAACTATACAATGCATTCTTACTTTGTAAAGCCGGCATTTAAATTGATGTGGAAGCTTACCACAAAAAACAGCAAACCACGGTAATGTAGCTGCTACAGCACCACAAAAATATCCACCAAGGAAGAGGACGAAAAAAACACATTTTCCTTTCTTGTTGCTTTATTTTCTATTATCATTCGTTCATTTTTAGTCATTTCTTATATATGTATTGCATTGAAGTTTGGAAGTAAGTTTTTTTTAGTGTTTTGTATCGAGACAACCGCCAGCATCTCTTCTTCTATTTGAGAGTTGTATCCTAGGGGTTCCAAGTGGTACTTTAGTGAATCTAGATTTCCAGGTGGTTTCCCTACCCCTTCCTGCATCGCTCACACTTCGCTACCACGTCTCCCTCCTCGTTGTAGCAGCCCCAACAACAATCCCGTTGTTGTCTTCCAGGTGGTTTCCCTACCCCTTCCAGGTATTTCGGCGTATCAAGTCTTCCACTTGCTTCGGGGTATCTAGGTTTCCAGGTGGTTTCCCAACCCCTTCTTGCATCCCTTATGTTGTTCCTCGCAGTCCAGCCATTCTACTCGCTGCCACAGCCCCGGGACAGTCCACCTTTGGTTGTCCCGCAGTCCTACGCCTTCACCACTACTACAACCATCATTCCCGCTCATTGTTGATGCCAGAAAACAGCCATCAGATCTGTTTTCTGCGGTTCCAGCCACCCGGCCAGCTGTTTCCCTTGTTTTAGCTTGCTGCTATTGCCACAACGTCTCCCCCTTGTTGTTTTTCTGCAGTCCAGTTTCCCCAAACAGCCAACTACTGCTGTGTGAGCTGCCTCCCCATGTTGTCCTGTTGTTCCAGCCACTCATAATTGACGACGCTCCTCACTCATAGCACAAAAACCCTTTCCCTATTGTCACCACCTTCACATGGAACCCGGCCTAACGTGAGTTTGAGTATCGTGTGTGTTGTATTTTCTCTTTCAAGTGTGTTTGATTGTAACCGTCTATTTACTTCCAATAATAATATTTGTTTTTCCTAACGTGATTTGGGTTAACTCCAGTATCATATATACTATAATACACATGGAAACTACACACATGAAAATTAAACTTCTTGGTTTGAGATAGTAACCATCGTGAATCTTTAGATTCACAACAGTTTCCATAACAAGCATCAAATATGTTCTAAGTGAAATCATTCACCAAAATTAAGTGATGTGATGGACAGTAAAGACTAGTAAAAAAGGTTTTATTTAGGTTACAGGTATGAGCTAAAATTTTTAGAAAGTTATATCTGACGAAAAAACTGGCTCTCGTTTGATATGAACAAGCAGTATACAATATGTAAAGACCATTTTTAAGAAAAGCAAATGATTTATTTTATAAGTTAATTGTTTAGTTTGAACTTGAGAAATTTATAGAGAAAGTTCAGTTTAAATTTAATGATGAATATATCCATTCACCTACCCATCTCTAAAAAAACCAAAGAAATAATAAATATTAGTTCACATGCTTTTGACAGACTACAATCCTCTCGCAAAAACCATCTATCCATGTATTTTTCTATAACTCCTTTGGTTAAAAGATCAAGTACATCATCGGTAAAGTGAGCCATAATTCATTCATACATATGAAAAACTAAAATTTTAATATTTCGTGTAGAATAAGCAAACCTAAATTTTAAATTGCTAGCATGCTTCTACATTACAGTATATAAATGACACAGCTCTCTAAATATCTAAATTTAATCATAACAAAATTATCAAAAATGTTATGAAATATGAAGTCCTGGAAATTTGCATTCCCTTAGCTTGAACAATACTTTTTTTTTTTTATTTAAATTGCATGGTTGAAAATTGAACCAAATAAATCTATGGGAAATCAAGAACCAATTCACCAAATAATAGAAATTTATTGCCACATGCATATGCATATCCATATATATACATACACACACACACACACTCACACGTATGTAGATATTTGTGTGTATGTATATATATAAAAGAGCTTTTGTTCCAAGACCCAATTCGCCAAAGGAAAGGAATTATTATCCAATACATTCGTGGGAAATCAAGACCCAATGAAACCCTTAGCAAACTAGTGATCCGAAGGCCGGCCCGATCACGCATCAACCTAAACCAAAGAATCGTAAGGATTGAGAGAGCACATCGAGTTCTCAATGGTATCACCAAAAGTATTTTTAAGGGAACAAATCTGAAATAAATCATAAACTAGAAAACACAGCATAACAAAGCCTATGGATAAAACACTTGGGCATGCTTAAATTGTAGAATATCACCACAACTTAATCATTCCTATCACAAATCATCAATAAACTTTGGAAAAAACAAAATCCAGGCCTATCCCCATAGAGAAAGACCATAAATGCTGCTGCAAATATCTCTCGGCTTCACTGCCATAATATATCTAATACTTTTGACAACGACTTTCTCAGAAAATTTAATCTTCTATATTCATTATAAATATTCAAGGTCAATATATATCTTATGCGTCGCAGTGGTTACACCGCAATCTAACCTCGAGATGCTGAGCAGCATCTGAAGCCAAAGCCACAGTAGCTGCTGCAAGCCCTATTAACCCGCCCTAAGAATAAAGAGAAAAAAATTTCAACAAGTGTTTATTTAAACTGACAACACAAGAATATGAATCATGAATATAGGAGGCAAAAAAATTAATCAAAACAGCGAATCAATATTAAACACACCTTCCTATGGTTTGCATGCGGAGAGTAAGTAAATTCGGTAACCAACACGTTTATAACAGTAAGTATCTTCTCATGCTCTGCAGTCTGCACTAGTTGTTTCACGATATTTTCGATCTGCCCAGTTACATATATCGATAAGATCTGCACGTCTTGAACCAAAAAAAAACGGAAACCCAACAGAAAATAAGGATAAGATTAAAGTACCTCGAGGGCCGCATTCTTCCTCTTCTCATAGAGTTTATCGGCGAGGTTCCTCAAAACCGATGTCGGAATCACAGACAGCGCGTCCGACATTCCGCAGCCGAGGGAGAAATCTGCCTGAGAACTAAGGATCAGCGCTGAAAGACGCTTGCGGTGTATCCCTTTCAATCTACAAACCCTCGGGTTAATGGGAGAAAAGGGCGACAGAAACCAAATGCGAGAGCGAGGGGGGATTGGCTATAGGGAGGGCTATCGGCTCAAAAACTCCTTAAAATCAAGCAATTGTAACCCTAAAGCATGAACTCTCGATCATGGAGACCGAGGAGACGACCGGCAGGTCGTAGAGCCATGCGCTCTCTCTCTCTCTCTCGCTCGCTCGCTCGCTATCTTACAGAAGGCGGAGCGAGCGTTCCAGTTGAGAACGAACGCTGCGGTCACGGAGTTTGAACCTGTAGAATATCGATGGGAGATGCGGTGCCGAGAAAGAGCAACATGCGGGAAACGGATAGGGAAACGCGGTGGCTTTATAACAGAAAATTTCGGCAAATATATTTACCTATCTACCAATTCAAGTTTGTTTTTTTTTAAATTTATTTCACCCACATCAAAAATGAAAATAGAAATTTATGTGTTAGATATGTAAATAAATGAAAATTTAGTGGTATATATCTAAATAAATATTCCTTAAATTTTATATTACATTCTATCTTAAACTCAATATATCATATGTTAATTAGATAAATAAATTACATATATCGACTTTATGTGTCATTAAAAAGGTGAAATAAAGATGATAGAATATTTCTGAAGTATGGCTCCAGAGCACTGAGCTGAGTTGAATAGGAGACTGTTTGAGCTAGATCTCATTTGCGAGCATCATGTTTGAGCTTTATTGTATAGTAATCATTAAGCTATAAAATAGGCAACCCATTTGAATAAATAAACAAATTTTATTAAGTTATACATGTTGAGCTCATAAACAAAACATTCAGTTGAAAAAGACTTTAGAGTTGGCCTCATGTTATGAGTAGTGCTTGTTCGCACATTGCTTATTCAATTGATGTCAACTTTAAGTAAACTTCATCTACAAGTCTCATGTTCTTGTTCCCAAATGACAAGTATTGTCAATGTCTTCCCCGTCATTAAGGTATTGTCGCAATTTCACAATGAACCTCATGTCTATTATCTTCAAATCTCTATTCTCTTAAGGTTTTATAATTTAAGATATACGAACATTTGTTCTTTTTTACAAATGTCGATCGATGTCTTATCCAACAATATCTCATCATACCGACTCTACAAACTCTCATCAATGTCATTAATTCTCATCCTTTAGGTTTTATTGGATTTTGGGGGCTGACGATTAGGGGGATAAAAATTGAGTTTTTGAGATTTTCGCGGGATAGGGATAGAAGAATATTAAACTTAAAGATAATATATTATTTATTAGTATCTTAATTCATGCTAATTATTAAAAGTAAAATTAGTTTTGTTTGAAGTTAATATTTAGTATTATATTGACCCGTAATTAAGCTTCTTAACGAGCTTATTTAATTAGTTTTTAACTATACTATCAATAATCATAAATGAATCGAGCATCATTCTGTTCTAACTTGTTCATTTAGTAATTATGTATTCATGAAAGCATCCAAATTTGAACAATTAGTTTATTACATAATTACATATGACTCTAACTCTGCAACCGGCAAATAACTTGTTGAGCTTATAGGTTCATTTGCAGTTCTATAAAAAAAAAGATGATCATAACATGCATTCAAAAATTAATTTATTTAGACTGAATTACTTAATACTATTTATTTCCTTTTTTATTAAAAATAAATAAAATTTATCATTACACAAATTGATACATATGCAATTTGTATTTATCTAATCTGTGCAATTATTATACATATTATATGTCTTTATTGCACATCTATGAATATATTATTGAACTCTAAATTGAATTTTCCTAAAAAACATAAATTATTGAAACTGCCTCGAAATATAACAACAAGAAACATGTTTATATAGAGGTCTTGTAACCCCACAACAAATTGAATTAGGTCAATTATTTGAATTGCAAATAAATGTTGTGTGGACCAACCATATTGAAATGATAATATATAAACTTAATTTAAATTTAATTTTAAAAAGGTTGAATTTTTTTGCTTTATGGTTTGTTCATACCGACCAAAATTATTTTAAACATTCAACAAGCCTTGCTAATAGATAATTGAAGGGACGATAAGGATGCTTCATCTTTAAGGGTATGTTTGGGGCAATTTATGCATTTCAAGATAAATAACTTATACTGAAACGTGACCCGCTGGTCGACCGAGGGGTTCGACTCGCAGCCCACGTTTAGTGTAAAAATGGAAATGTGTTTTCGGATAAGCAGACAAAACGCACGATCCAAACGGTACCGCGACATCTTAAAAAACGCCCTCACACTTCTAAGTCGCCCTAAGTCAATAGTAGCATTTAATTATGATCGAATAACATACGAATTACTCTTAAGGGTGGAATCAACCACCTTTTTGAGAGGACAAACTGTCCATCATAACCAAGCGTGAGAGAGGCTAGGGCAAAAAAGAGCAAAATAATATTTTAGAAGGAACAAAATTGATATTTCATGAGGAGCAATATATTAAATTGTATTCTCAATTTCAAATTGAGAGGGGTGGCACAATTGCCCCCTCCGGACCCTACCTGAGTTCACCCCTAATTCTTTTCATATATCAACTAACAAAAGAATTTTACACATATGATACAATTCTTATTTATTTACATTTAAAGCAGTTAAAACTTTCATATTTACATTGGTCACACTTTGTTGTGATAAATCTTTCATGAAGCAATAAATCATATTTCTATCAAAAAAAATTCTAAAATGAAGCAATAAATCAATTAACAAACATAAGAACAATGGCAGTCTGAAAAACAAAGTTGTTAAAGGAAACTCTCTCAAGCGGACCCTTAATCTCTATGGTGATCATCATTGTAGTTAGCCGCCGCAGCGGGGGGGGGGTCCACCACCGTGGCCGGAAGGTCGGCAATGGCGGCGAGCATGCATCGAATACTCGCGGAGCTCGCACGGCGGAAACTGTAGCTCCCCTTCACCTTCTTCTCGGTCGAAAAAATGCAAGACGACTTGGAGAGGATGAGATAAACCAAAATCTGAACGGCGAAGAACATGACCACCCTCAGAAGAAACTTTGGGGATTCCTGCGTGAATGCGATCAGCTCTTCCATGAACAAAACCTAATGTGTGTTGATGAACGAGATAATCAATTGGTTTGGATTAATGGTGGATGATGTGGTCCTTTTATATGCTTTTTCGTTTTCTTGTTCTAGAAAGGGATAAGAGCCGGCTGGGTCTGATTTGTTCAATTGTGGGTGGGCTCAGGGTTATCGGATCTGGATTACTTGCAACATTGGAGAGAATTCATATCGGTAAACGTCACACGTGTCAAAAATAGAAGTTTCTAAACTATAAATGTCCCATTTTGGTTTTTCAACTCAGATTGGTTTGGTCGACACCTCTATGAGTTCAAACGTAAAATATTATATCATATATAGGGGTGTAAACGAGGCTCATTTATGTCTCGAGCTCAAAAAGTGTGTTTGTATTCGGCTAGTTTGTTTATTGAGCCAAACACGAGTCGTTCACGAACAAAGAGTCATTTTGACAAACTTAATCACATAGTCATAAGATGTTAAGGATTTGGGCAAGATTAAAAACATCATTTGAATCTAATATATTATTTTTTATTCTATTTTCTTAATTAATACTTTTAATTGATTATAAATCTTTGTAGCCTTGTAGTTAATTAAATTTTATAAAAATACAACTCATTAAATATATATATATATATATATATATATACTTGTGTTCGAACAGAACGAGGATAGACCAAGTATTTTCCTATTTCAGTTTAGTTACATTAGGGGTTCGCTTTAAGCTGAAATCTTTTTATTTTAGTTATGAATGCTCTTACTGGACATTTAAAAGAGGATGCACCTTTGTAAATGCTTTTCAGCAATGATAATCGTCTTGTGGACAAGACTAAAGAAAGAATTCAACAAAAACTTGAATTATGGAGGCCTACATTGGAGTCTAAAGGCCTTCTCTTGAGTAGATCTAAAACTGAATACATGGAATGTTATTTTAGTAGTAGTAGCTCTGGTGGCAGAGTTGCAACTATGGGTGATCAAATCAAGTCGAACATGAATAAAAAAAAATGATAGTGTTGTTCGTGTTCGGCTTGTTCACACGAGCTGTTTTGACAGTCGGAATCATATATATTTTTATTAAATATTTTCAATATTTTAAGCTCAAAAATTTCTTTACGACAAATGTTTTAGGCTTAACATCAAAATGCCCAAATGCTTGCACGTGAAAATTTAAGGCGAAACGGCCGACACATCTTTGACCGGGAATAGGAATGCGAAGAATATATAAATCTTGAACGAATATAAAGACAAAGAGCATCTACCGTTAACGCAAATTAATTGTTACGGTCTTCGATACTAAACTTAATTTATTCCTATAATTTTAGGCGGATTCAAACTTTATTAAATTTGATTGTATACAAAAAAAAAGTTTTGGAAATTTAGATATTCTGCACAAATTTTTTATGCATTCAAATATTTAACTCGTAGGTATTCATTTTTACATAGATATTATCTTTAATACCACATAAAAAAATTTTTGTTGAATCCAAAATGTCTGGGGAACACGGCTATGGTGTAGAGTTCTATAGGGGGAGAGAGAGAAAGAGAGAATATAATTAGGGACTATAAAAGAGAGTGTCATCTTTATTGACGACATTAACTCTCATTTATAGGAATATGTCACAGTATTACAAAAATACATACAAGTCTCATTCGCATTGACATTTTAGAAATATTTTTTGATAATTTAGGAAGATATTCACATATAATAAATCTAGGGGACTGATTCGATCGACAGGAACTTCACCGACTACCTACCAAGCCTTAGCTCCGTTGACATATGATCTGAAAAGTTACTTCTTGCTGATCGTTATGGGTGTCAGTCACCTCCTTGTGAGAGATCACTGACAAGTTCTATCAATCGCTTGAACATGACGCGTCCTTCATTTGCTTCCAACTCGAGATGATCGTGTATAAATTACGTTTGATCGGTCATATCTTTTTCTCAAGCAGTTTATATGTCTTTGAATTTCGTGGTGACACATTTCTCATATACAATATTACTATCATTATGTTTATAGAAGTGAAATACACATTTTGATGCATGGGTTTACAACACAAAGGTGCTGAAAGTATTAAATTTCAAAATTGAGGCGTTAGATATGTAAATATATACGAATTATGTGATATGCATGTAAATTTTACCAAAAAAAAAAAAGATATTATGCATTGGGCCTAAAAATGATTCATTTTTCATTGTATCTCAATTCTTAAGTTTGTCCTTGTTGTAGTTGTTCGTTAA